CTATTACTAACACACTGCACGTGTATCTTTTACTGATTGAAAAGTTGTTGTTTTTTGAATGTATGTAATGGCTATTGTAGAGCATCACAATCTTAATACTTTATTTCTGAAATTCTCATGTTTATGCTAAATTCATTAATGAAGTATGCATGTCATGTCTTAATACCCTGTTCCTTTTGTGTTTGTTGTACAGAAAGTCAACTGTGAACAGAAGTATGGAGTGGAGGTTATAGCTTTGGACTGAAAACTGGCAACTCAAAGGCAACTCATAACAGGTTGTGAATTCGATTTTTTTGTGGGGTGCTACTGCTATACCATTGAACAAAGTACTTCACTTGTTTTTACTCAGCCATATAACTGAGTACAGATGTAAGTTATGGTCAAGATGGTGGCATAGCTCTTGGGTCTTGTGTTCAAGATTAATTAACCTCTGTTGTGATCATTCATTAAAAATGCTTTTTGTTTTATGAAGTAACCTTACATCATCTACCAGCAACATGTAGGTCTTCTATTTGTTCTCGAACAATAACTCAGAAAAATGGAAAAAAACACCACTTTATACTGACATTTATATACTACAGTAACTGGTCTTGTCAAAATGCTTGTGAGGTAGTGAAATGGGGCTTTGAGAAAGCCACCTATTAAGGTAAAATGAGACACACATAGGAGGATTAAACCATTGACATCCAGGGGGAGTGAGATTACACATGAGGGAATGGGGCACATAGGATAGGCTACATGTGTAATTGACCACTCCCCTAGTTTAATTGAGAGGTGTAGAAGAATAGCCAGGAGAAAATCGCTTTCAGTCTGTGTCTTTGTTTCAGCCTGGGAGAAACTGAGAGCTTCATCAATAGCAATAGCAATGGGTTGAACTGGGTTGAATTTACAGGCCTGTGGGATGCAGTGATCGAGAATACGTCTCAGTCTGCATAGGCATTGTTTTTGCTAAGCTCAATGGGGTTGAAGTATGCAGCTGAGGAAAAGGGTTGAAGAAGACATTAGCACCTGGAGGACTAGAGAGTAGGGCATACCCTGGCAACATAACTGTGTGTAGTCTCCCCACAGATGAGAGAGGAAGTCTGGGTAGCACAGTTAGAGTTCTGAGTACACTGTATGTTACCTTACCGGTTTTAAAGAAAACAATAATGTCTGGTGCTGTGTCAGGAGAGTTAATGTGGTTGGTTGTGCAGCATCCTGGCCAAACAGGATCAGCTGGCATAGTTAGGAATGGAAAAGGGTATTTGTAAAAGATCAACAGTATGCTTGGTTTGAAAAGTTAGAACTAAACATTTCTATGAGGAGTTAAGAGTTAGGTGTTGCAGAGCAAATACGACTGCTCCAAAGACTTGTAACCTATAAGAATAATGAAAGAAAGAGCTGAAGGAGAAAGAACAAGAGTTAATAATTGGGTGACATGGGTAGAGTACTCCAGTATCTCATTATATTAGTGAATAGTGATTAGTGAAGTAAGAAGTACGACTGCTTGACATGAAGTGAATCTGGTTGGATATTCCTCGGCCTGGTTGTGTGTTAGTAACTAATGAGAATCAGCAAGATCAGTGCAGTGGAACATATCAGAAGAGCAATCTAAACCTGGAACAATCATGCACACTTCCCCAAGAGGGTACCATCTAGGATCTTGTATTTCAGAGGGGGTCAGGGAAGATCAATGACAGTCCACTTAAAATGGAAGAAAACAATGTTACACGCTGGCAGGGTGGCAATTATGCTGGCATTGCTACTGTGCTAAAATAGAGGAAAACATAATTTTAAGATAGTTTTGTGTCAGACCCTGAGATGAAGATTTGTGTGCAAAGAATAAGATGACAAAAGTTCTGTTTTGTTTTCTTCTTTAGCCATCATATTAATATATACTCAACCTGCAATGAACTTTTTGTTGTTTGTATTCTTTTAGTAAACAGACTGAAATTCATTTCAATGGTGAGAGAGCTCATACATGCAGTGGTTAGATACAGTATTACTAAAAGTAGAATCTCACAGCTGTGGTTGTCAAACTCACACGATCAGTAGGATAATCACTTATGGTGATTGACAATATGGAAATATGTATGCATTACAAGAAAAACGTATCACTTATAACTGGAGTAAATCAGTAAAGTGATCAACTATTCTTGTAGCAGTTCAGGTGGGTAGCTCGCATAGGCTGCAAAGGAACAAGTAATAGGTTTATTAAATGCTGAAAAGAGAAGAAAGAAAACACAATGTTTCGGCTGTGGAGCCTTCTTCAGGTGTGAGAAAGACAGGGCAGTAAGCAAAGTATCCTCTCTTCACCTATCTTGAGTTCACACTTCCTGATTGGCCACTCTGTCTGTCCCCTGCTCCTGCCTCTGGTTCCTCCTTTCTCCAGCTTTTGTTCTCCTGCTACATTACCTTTGCTTACTGCCCTGTCTTTCTCACACCCGAAGAAGGCTCAATGGCTGAAATGTTGTGTTTTCTTCCTCTCTTTTCAGCATGGAATAAACCTATTACTTGTTCCTTTGCAATTATTGTGTACACTAACATTTTATTGAACAGAGATAGAAATAGATAAATTCAATATGCTGATGAACATTTGTCATCAATAGAGTTGACAAACTGGGGGTTTACAGTGAAAGTTACAGGCTAATGGTATGTGATGCTAACATCTGTGATTCATGCTTTGCACCCAGATGCTGATGCTGTCTTATGGAAATCTATCCCTTTCCTCTCTTAAAGCCTGCCACTCTCTAATGAGGCCCTTGATGCCGCATGTCCTTCCAACTCATTGCACAAATATTCAACGGAGCTAACATTCCGGTGAGCTGGACATCTATGGCATAAATCTCAAACTCCTATCTTTTTACATAATCAGCATGAGAAACATTCCGAAAATGGGGAAAAGTGTATGTATGAGCATCATTAAACACAGTAGAAATCAAAAGGTTTACCTTTCCATGCCATTCGTCCTAAGACAAAAAAAGCTATGCATTGGCTATAATGGACTGAAAATTAAAGCCCTTTTCTTAGTAGAGATTGACTTTAATTTCAGTTTACCTGTCTTTTATCTTTTGATCATACACATCATATCTATATCTTATCTTGAAGCATAGGCTTTCTCCATATCTTGAAACAGAAAAAATATTTGATATATTATAAATTAATATTTTGGATCATTAAGTTTAATGTTAAGTATTTTCACCATCCCATCATGGCACTCCAATTTTGTTACTTCAAATGGGATAAAACAAAAGAGTTTTTAATTATAGAGAAATCTGAGAGCAAATATCCTTGCTATTTGCTTCCCTTTTGGTCTATGGAATTTAGCATTGCTTTTGACCACAGACCTTTTGGCTTTTGGGCTATTGCTTGTTTGGACCTTGTATTTGGATTCCTCTGTTTTTCCAGCTGTTGAGTTCCCTGGATATGCATACTGTAGAGTCCATCCATTGCTATCTTCATAACAAAAACCTTAATACCTATAGACAATCCTCAAGGACCAGGATAGGAATCCACAGATCTAGAGGATCTAAGGACATTAACAGTGAAAAAGTTTGATTTATAAAAATAATTGACATTTCATCAATGTTCTTATAACAATCAAAACAGGTTAACGTTAGTACCATGCAAATTGGGGGTAAACACAAGAATGCACTCACCATAGAATAAACGGTTAAAACCCTTAACACCAAAGACTTCTCCAGCAGCAAACAGAAGAAGGTTCTAAGTGTACAGCATTATCTATAGACCATGGATCCAACAGCAGTAAGATGTGCCTTGTGTTGTGGTGTATGCACAGGACCGCATAAAACTGCATAAATAACTTACCCTCTTAAGCTTCGTGGCCAAATTAGGAGGATTAGCAAAATACAAGACTGGTCAAAGATCTAGAAGATGACTTTTAATGTGGACAAGAGTGGGGTTTTGCATGCAAGTATTAAAAAAGCAAACAGTAAATACGAAATTGCAAATGCTGAGCTACAGTAGAATAAGCTACTTAGAGTATGAAAAGACAGGTGTTTATGGTAACACTTTGATTAAATCTTCTAAACAATTTGGGGAAGCAATTAAAAAGGCAAATAAAATATTAGTGTAGTAAAAAGCATAGAATTTAAATCAAAGAATGTTATGTTAAATTGTATAACACACTAGTAAGGCCTCATTTAGAATATTGTTTACAATTTTGGTTAGCACATTGTAGAAAAGATATTGCTGGTCTGGAATCAGTCGATAGAAAAGCAAACAGATACATTCTAGGTTTAAGGGAATGTCATGTGCTGACAAACTGAAGGAACTGAACTTTTAAGTCTTTAACAGAGAATACTATTAGGAGACTTGATAAAAGTGTTCAGAATCTTCAGGCATTGACTAAAGTCAGCCCGGAATGATTTAGTCACAATGAACAAGTGGAAACTATGACAGTGTATTTACAGTACAACTGATCATAAGAGGTACTTTTTATACAAATGATTGCAAGAGTTGGCAACAAGCTAGACAGCCGTGCTGTTGAAGTCGATACACTGGCAGTCATCAAGATACAGTATATAGGATGAGATACTCAGATTAATTACCTACTAAGTACTTAACAGCATAGACGGGTTGACAGGCCTCCTCTCGTTTATAAGGTTTCTTATATTCCTAAGCTACAGTTTGACAGCCACGGTATTTTATAAAATGCACATTCTTGAAATACAAATTACTGATAGAAGAAAGGTTTATTAAACGGAATTACCAGCTTTCACCATAATAATTTATTTTATTATAATAAATAATGAAACACTTATGTTTGTATTGCTATAGCAGTAACAGTTCCATTAGAAATTACCAGAAAGTCAATTTGAAATAGACGAATTGCGTTCTGGATCTAAAGGTAATTTTGTAATTTGAAATCCTCTGTTTTCCAATCCCCTTTTAATTGTATGTGTTCCCTCACTACTGCTGGGTTTTGGGGGTGTTCTGCGCCTTTAAAAGTGCATCTGGTTGAGTATTCCAGCAGAATAGCTGCGCTGAACGGTGTAGGTTGACGTCATTAAACTTTTCGAGCAGCTGTGGAGAGATAAGGGGGAATGCTGGAGTGCTGGGAAGCGAGAGCTAACAGAAGTGAAGCGGTTTACAAGACTGAGCTAGGCAACTGTGTTTTTGTCTGGGTAAGTACGCCGTGGTTTCTTCCAGTCGTCTGTTTACAAAAGAATAGCGAAGTGTCGGTCTCAGGCATTTCACTTGTAGGAGTCTGTAGATAAGCGCTATTTACAAACTAAAATCTTGCTACTGTACTGTTTTGGCATGAAAGAAGCAGGGATACTGTAATAAAAGTATATTTTAATCATTAATCAAACTACTGGGAAGTAATTTTATTCTTAGTTTTACATCGATGTTAAATCCATGCCTTTTATGATACATTCGTTTCACATTCTCAAGTAAGCAAAATATCTGAGTCTTCTTTTTTTCCACTGTTGTTTGGATGCCTTCCGGTAATATTTACTTAAGTCACTAATGATTAAAAGGGGGAGAAAAGTTATTTGTTGTAATGGAAGTATAAGCGAGATTTTGTTTTCATTAGCACCATTTACAAGCTCGGCAGCAAGTGTTTAGTGAAGTTATGCATCTTGTGCGGTCATTCCCGTTAATTAAAAACGTGCTCACTTTTAGTGATGCAGCATTTCATCAGTCAGAGACTGGATGTTTGGCTACAAACATATATACAGTATAATGCTTTTTTTTACCTAATTCGTGGGTTTACTTCCCAAGGATTACTGCACGGTTCCGAAGTGCAGTAAAATGTATTTCTATGAGTGGATAATTAAGAGGTGCAATCATGATCTGATTTTGTACTGCAGATTTTATGCATTAAGTTAATTTTTTAATATGTATAATTATCAGGTAGGCAGATGTTGGGGGAGAGGTGTCCCTGATAATACAAAATAACTAAATGTCGTCATTATTGGAAAATAAGAGAAGGAATGTTCACTGAGTTACATGATTATGCTTAACGTAGTTAACCTTTTAAACTGATATTTAAACAGAGCTGCTAAAAGTAAGAGGGAAGTTCTCATTTGAAGACCTTTTCTTACAGGTGCATTAATTCGGACTTAATTATGTATTTAGCATAATTTATTGTCAGCCTGTCGTTTGATCGTAGGCGGACACAATTGTCCATGAATTTATTTTATGTGGAACAAAGAATATTTGTTTTTTTTATGATTTTTAATGTTGAATACTGCTTAAAACTAACAGTTGACACCTTTTCCAGCGAATGCCACATGATGGTGTTTGTTTGCATTTAAGTGTAATTTCTCACGCTGTCATATTTTCAAAGTTAAGCTTCTAGTGCTCTTTGTAACGTAAAACAGTCTTGTTTTCCCGTTTTCATATACGGTAACACTATTGTTTTGGATTCATTAAAGTTTTATTTTTGAAGGGGAACGCAGTTATAAGGCAATTGAATCGATTTATGCTTTTCTTGTTTGTATAGGCATTTTAATTGATTCTCAAGGTTGGAGCTTTGGTTATGGAAATACTTTTAAAGGGAAGTACAACACAGAAAAATAAATACATGTAAAATTAAAACGTGCAATTAACATCTCGCAAGTCATTTTCTCTACTTTTTTTCCTTTTAAATAAAATGGCTATAAGTGCTTCAGATACCAGTTTCTAATACTGGTTTTTCACGTCCTTTTTGCTAAAACAACAGTTTAAAATGCAGCAAGTGTGAGCATTTTTGCATGCTGTTTTCTCTTGCTGGTTTATTGCATCAATGAATACATACAAAGATTACTTCTGAAGGACTTGAGTGTACATATTTCTTTGCTTTGAAAAAGGGAGTAACATGAGTTGCATCGGGGGGGAGGGAGAGTAATAACTATTAAATCCTATGCAGGTGCTGTATGCTTGTGCAGTCTTACTGAAGAAATATTGATTGGGATGTAAAATATGTTTTGTAGTTTAATCCGATTTCATTACAAGGAATGTGTGGATTTTCCCAAAATACTGCATAGAACAGTGATCACCTTTTTAAGTATTAGCTGAAGTAATTCGATCGGTTTTATTACCTGGCAAATCTTGCTAAACATTTTAATTGAAAAATACTGTTTTACATGATTGGAGTGTCACTTCTAAATATTGATGCTAACACAAAAATGCAGATAAGCATGTTTTCATGGTCTGTGTTGAACACTAATTTGCTGCTGTGCAGGCTGCATTTATGGCTCCATATGTGAGGCATACATGAGTTACAAATAAATCATGAAATTGCAAAAAGCTTGAAGTATTCATCTTTATACTGTACTGTATATAGGTTAATATGATGAGTTGAAATACAGTTGATTTTTAATGTTTAGTTCAGTTCACCAGCAGTTAGGGCATATGGAATCTACTGTTTGTGAAGACTTATATAATTACATTGGAGCCTATGTATATTGTCAATCATTAATAACCACTGTCCTCCAGGTCTTCCTGTTTCCTCCCACAGTCCAAAGACATACTCAAAGGTTAATTGGGAAAATTAGCCCTGGTATAAGTGTGTATGTGTTTGTATCTGTGTGTGCCCAGCAATGGACTGGTGTCTTGTCCTGGTATATCCTGCCTTGTGCCCACTGCTTGTTGGATTATGCTTTGGCTCCCTTGCGACCCTGTATTGGATAAAACGGTAAGAAAACAGTATGATAGAGGAAACTGGCCTCTTTCAGTTTGGTGCTCTTCTATTTTATTCTTCTTAAACAACTTCTAATTGGTTATCAAATAATGATGTACAGAAAAGGGAGGGAATGACACTTCATAAAACTTTCTAACTCATGTTGCGATTTATTGGTTAAATTCCGACTGGTCTTTTAAACTCTCCTAAGTGAGATATATTCTGAAACTCAGCATGTAGCATATGGTTCATGCTAATTTCCAACCTTACCCTTCTATTTAAGAACCAAACTTATTGAAAAATAGCTTGACTAAGTATTGAATATGCCAAATCAAGAAAGAGCTGTGTTGGAATGAAAACCATAGGATAAAAAGTACTCCAGAACAAGTCTAGGGAAACTCTGCTTTTGCTCATCATCTTTTACAGTCTGGCACAAGCTTCATGCTTATTTCTAACCTTGCCCTTGTATTTAGGAACTGAAACTATTGGGAAAAATAGCTCACTTAAGAATTGAATGATTTAAATTAAATCTGCTAAATTGAAAACCATAAGGCAAAAAAGAATATGGGGAAGCAGTACTAGAACTAGTATGGGGAAACTCAGGTTTTGCTCATCCTTCGCAAACTTGATAATGGGGAAAAAAATGTCTGACCAACACACATTTGTCTCAGTGGGCATGGAGCTGTTTAAAAAAAACCCTTCCTGATCCTTCTTCTTTTTTCTCCACAGCAAAGGTTTCCAATCAGATACTGTACCTACTGAGACCATTTTGTGTTGTGGTGTATCTTATAACTTAAACATCTAGTAAGCTTTTTCTCACAATTTCTAGTTGATTGTCACCTATCATGATAAGAGCTTACTCTGCAGAACTTTCCATCGCAGTATGTACTGTACAGTATCTCTCAATCCTGAAGAACTATTAAAGTAGGCAAATAATGTAACATTTTCCTGCATAACTGCAAGCCATCACAGAATACTCTCATGCACTTTGGCTCATGTGAGAACTTTCCACATAATAGGGTGACTGGTCTGTGATGTTAGACAAGTGAAAACAACCATGCAAGTGTGTTTCATGATTAGTGGCTCACGTATGTGGAGCATGCATGCTCCATGGATTGTTTTTACCCAAGGACTCTGTGGTCTCTTACAGTTGTTGATGTAGTGGGTTTGTAGATCTGCGACAATGTTAACCACTGATAGGTCCATTGAAATTAGGAGCAAACAGCATTTCTTTCCAATGGTTAGGGTTTATACTATGCATCTTTCCACTGTGGAGCATTGTAGTGGATTTTTTTTTAAATTTATATTTCACAATTTTGCCAGTGTACAATTGAATGAATGTCCTATACATAATCATATCCAAAGATTTTTTTTTTCCACTCAAGCTACCAAAAACTAAGGATTTAGTGTCCATACATTTTGTTAGATAACACATAGGATTTGCATTAGTCTATATCATGAACAACACTTACTGCCTGTCATTGGGTGATATTACTAATCATTCTGCTAATGTAATTTTAACACTGTTTTGAAAGAGAATATTTAGAGTATTTAATGTGAGGTAACTATAATGCACAGCAATACTTTGTCTTCACATAGTTATAGGTGCACCTAGAATAGCTTGGTCCAGCATATGAAAATACACATTGTGCATTCAGTTGTTGTGAGATTAAAAATACATATCCAGACCAAAAGGGAATACTACAAGAATCGATTTCTCGTACTTTTTAGAAGTTAAACAATATTCCGTGTTCATGAAAAAAATAAGTATTGCAATAAATACTGTGAAAATTTTAAAATGTAAGTGGGCCAAAAATCTTGCATATGTTTTGAACAAAGAACTATACAGTAATTGGTATAATTTCAATACTTTTATAACTGTTATACTCAGCATGTGATGCAGATGTATCTATCTGAACAACATTTTCCTATTATATATTCTTATAGGTTCCTATTTCATCCACCTCTGAAGTTGCTGGTCTGATCCGGGTGACACGTGGTAGCCATTATACACCAGCAGCCCTACTATACAGCAAATCAGTAGAAGGGTAGACTGGGGTGACATATTTTTTTTTAAGCCCAAAGTGGAATTTAACCAGGACACTGTGCTTGATACACCTTCTCTTAACAAATGGTGCCATGGGATCTTTAATGACCGAACAGTCATACAGTATGTCTATAAACTATAGTAAAAACATAAGTTTTTGAAGTACCAGTGTTCCTGAAAATTTAGTTTGGCCTTAGGAAGTTTTGAAACTGGGTCATACAGGGTACTTGGTCTATCAGTGTTATAAGTGGAAACATTGTGGGTGTATAGCCTGTGGCTCATAACTGGTTCCATGATCACTTCATATCATTGCTGTTTCTTCTTTTTCATGATTAGGTCTAATGTTAGGTGCACCTAGAACAGCTTGGTCCAGCATATGAAAATACACATTGTGCATTCAGTTGTTGTGAGAGTAAAAATACATATCCAGACCAAAAGGGAATACTACAAGAATCATTTTCTGGTACTTT